TAGAAAACTTTTGAGATAAATTAGATATAATTCAATAACCTATTTTGTAACACCCTAATTTGACCCAATCCGAAATCTGGAGGATTCAGATGTCACACGGAACCACCAAAGGATTCAGATGTCACACGGAACCACCAAAGTGACTAACTATTTTTTTCATTTAAAACACCATATATTTATAAAAAGACATTAATAATATTCATAAAATACTTTTACAAACCGGAGCTTCATGACTCATAGTTTAAATTAAAATAATAAAATCTCAGAGTTTGCAAATTTAAAGACAACAATAAGGGTCCTATGAATACACATGCCCACTACAAGTAACCAAACAGTACTATGTGACGCATTTGGAAATCCTACTACGACGATGCTCCTCGAACGACTCAATATACTAACATGTGTATGGAAATGCATTCTGAACGTTGAGCTCACAAGTTTAGTGACATACAAATATCACAGATATACTACATGCATCCAACAAATGAGCATGCTACAGTTATAGTTATGCACATAATAGTACATTTAACCCGCAACAACAAAAGTAAGCATAATGGTGTAGTTTAGGGTCATAAAAACATCACAGAACTCACACCCCTATTTGCTCACTAAAGGTACCTTAAACGAGATTTGGGTCACATAACATTAGCATCTCATAAGTACCCAAGGCTAGGTTCGGGTCATATAGCATCGGGACCTTGCCAGGCTAGTATACTCCTCTAGAGTACTCGAAACTTGTTTGGGTCACATAGCATCAGCACAATGTTCAACTAGCGTTTTAAGTGTCCATGCACTATATTGGATATATTCGAATAATCCTTTAATCTACTAGACAATCATCATACAAAGTGACTCGGGTGTCCTCGTTTCTAGAGTATCAAACAAGGCATAAGTCTTATGGAATCTTACCTCATTAAGATCGTATGTTATCAAACAATTGGTAATGTTCTAACTTGCATGCTTTTATTAGTGTTTCCCTTTTATTCTAACCATTATATGAATTCCTTGACGACATGGGGTTTACAACCATTATTATCATGTCAGTATCGATACTTCGTTGTATAGTATTGGTACTTACCTCATCGTGGTATCGATACTACCCTGAGTATCTGTACGATTTGGGTAAATTGGAATTTGTAAAGTTTCCCTAGTATCGATATTGAACCCCAAGTATCGATATCATATTAATAGTACTGCTACCCCAAGAACCGGGTATCGATACTTCTATACAAAACCCTTTGATTTTCAACCTAATAGAGGAACAATATTGATAATGTTCCTATAGTATCGATACCTCAAACCCAAATTGTCTTGTTTCTCACGAGTGTAACACTTCAAATCTCTCTGAAGACCCTCCCAAAGTCCCCAAACATTATTTAAATCTTATGTAGATTCAAAAGATCTTAAAAGATCTTTACTTTATGCATGGATAACATCAAACACTCATTTTCATGTTATAACACCCCAAATGCTTCATATACACAAACAAGTAACAACACTGCACATGTTGATTACAAGCGATATAGAGATGTTAGAAGCGTGTTACCTCATTACTAGATGATGGAGAATCAACCTCAAGCTCAACCAAACACCACATTCTCTTTGCCCTTGACCTTAGAGCTTTCTCTCACTTCTCTCACTTAGAAAAATCAATCTAAGAATGTGATTCTATCAAACTTTCACCTTTGTTCAAACCATAATGGAGTAAGAGAGATTTTTTTGGAAATGAGAAGATGACAAGGAAGGTGAAGAAAATGAAGGGGTGACTCACCTTTTCCTAATTTCTTACCCGTATACATCATCATCCATAAATGGAAAACTCACATTTTCCTAATTTCTTGCATGCATGCATCATTATTCATAAATGAAAGACTCACATTTTCCTAATTTCTTGCCCTCATACATCATCCATTTTCCTAATTTCTTGCACATATACATCATCAGCTATAAATGAAATACACATCTTTTAAAACATTTTAGGGGATAATTACAGATTCAGTCTTGCCTCATTTAACTCCAATTCAAAAATACCATTTTTATAACCTTTTAGGCCCTATTCAAACCCAATTAAACTCTCACTCAACCCAACGACTTTAATTATGAACTCCACGAGGTCTACAAACCTCTCAATAAACCCAAAACTACTAACATGAGATTTGGGGTGTTACATATTTGATGATTTAGTAGTTTTTTAATGGTATAATTAAATATACATTTTTTTAACGTTGTACATCATCAATTTAATGGGGATGACGATGAAGTGACCATTTTGTTACAAACTGATAACATTAGTGACCAATTTGTTACTTTTGAACATTATATAATTTACCCAAAATTTAATTTTATTCCTAATGAAAATTTAATTTAAACTCGACATATAAAAATATTATATAGCTTTTTTTTCTAAATGTAAAATTTTATATAATATAATAAAAGTGGTACGATATATATGTATGGGTTTTGTATAGAATAGCATAAATCAAGTGACTTTCATGGAAAATTTAATTTAAACTCGACATATAAAAATATTATATAGCTTTTTTTTCTAAATGTAAAATTTTATATAATATAATAAAAGTGGTACGATATATATGTTTGGGTTTTGTATAGAATAACATAAATCAAGTGACTTTCATGGAAAAAGAATTGTTGTTATTCTTTGAGGACTTGAGTTCAAGCACCATAGATGTAAGGGGTATGAACACTCAATGTTAAAAAGTTGAGAGTTATATTTGAACAGATAATGTCTTGTACTTACTCTAATTAATCAAAAAAATTATTACAATAAAGTATGATATTTCGTTGTTATATTTGAACACTGACCCTTGAATGTGGTTAGGTGCTTTTCAAGAAATGAACATTCCGTCAACTTGAGCAAACAAAGACGTTGTTTTAAGTGCAACTTGTTGGTCAACGAGTTCTACATGCATAGTTGCTCCAATTTCGCCCACAAAGAAGCAGTTTTTTTTCCAGCACATCATGTAATATTTGATTCAATAAGTATAAACGGATCAAAGATATGACTTTACAATCCTTTTATTTTTCTTCGTTCGTCCAATCTAAAGATGTCTTCTTATCAAACTCTTTTAATGCAAGGACATCTCAAATCTTCACTTGCCACAGCGAGAACTTTGTGTTTCGATCTAACAACAGAACATCATACTTTATTGTTGGCATAATCTTAAATCTGAAGCTATGATACCAATTTATTTCCCGAAACTTTGAGTGTTTTGATATTATGAGTTTGAGCATCAGAAATGTCAAAGGTCCGAGCGTTTAATGTCAAAATTTAGTTATTAATTTAATTTATAAAAATTTAAAATTCTAAGAACTCAAAGTAAAATTATAAATTAGTTAAAAATTTAAAGGTAAATTGTTTAAAATAAAATATTAATTATATTATTTTCCTTAATGTTTTTAGGTAAATTATACCAGTGACCACCTAACTATTGTCCATTTTCATTTTAACCACCATTTTTGAAATATTTTCAATCAAGTCACTAAACTATTTAAATGTATTCAATCAAGCCACTGACAGTTAACATTTAATTGGTATAATTCAACATTTAGTCCTTATTACTTACATAATATATCAAATTGGCCATTATTTTAAATTAATTCAATATATTTAATCATCCAATCATATGATGACACATATCAATAGTGATATATGTCATGACACATGTCACGACATTATTAGAGGACTTTTTTTAACTTAATAGACTCAAAATTTGGCTCATGAGAGAGTCAAATATGCGTCTTCGATGTGGATCAAACAATCTTTACCACTATACCAGCACTAGTATTTTAAAATAATATTTACAACATTTGTTATTTATGTTATATTATAATGAAGGCTTGAAAAATGAAAATAAAAGTAACACTAAAAAGACTCAAACATTGGCCTATTATTAGGGATGGGTATGGGGCAGGGTAGGTTGGTGTTTGGTCACCCTGATCCCGACCTAAAAATATATTTTTTATACCCGATCCGATTTGAATATATTTATATTTTAAAATAGTTAAAACAATTCAAAATATTTTCTCACAACTTTTGAAATTTTAATTTAATTAATATTATTTTAATAATAATAATAATAATAATAATAATAAATGCCACATATAACATAAATATTAATAAAATAAATCATGTAATTAAAATATGATAAGTTCAAAAGTTGAGTGGTTAAATTAAAAAACTTTAAAGTTTAATGTTGAATGGTGTAATTTATCCAATTTATAAATTCAAAAGGGACCAAAATTGACCTACTTAACATGCCACGTCAGTGGGATTTAATGAAACATTCAGTCAATGACGAAAAACATTAATCAAAAGGACACCTTGAATTCTTTTCTTGAGTTAGAAGGCCACATTGAAAGAAAAAATAATACGAAACTACATTACTTTTTTTTTTTTGTAAAATACAGATACTTCGGGTGCCCTTTTACTAAAATTATTTATTGACAATACACATTTATCCTACAATTATAATTGATTTTACTAAAATTATTTATTGACAATACATATACACCAAACAATTATAACTGCTCAAATCCAAGAACTCTAAAAAAAAATTCACATCCCATATTAAATGGGTTCATATTCTAAATTGTTGCATATAGTGATACAACTGTAATCTTCATACATATAGATTTTTAGATCAATATAATATTTATACTACTTTATCCATAATACTGACCCACTTACTCTATATTTATCAGCTACTTTTTTGGTATAGATGAAATAGTTAACGTTACAAATTTACTTGAGCCTTGATATTAACATAAGTTATCTGTATGAATAGAAAACCTTTTGGAACCTAGATTTTGCAGACTCAAATTACGAGAGCTTAGACCAACTCTAAGTGACATTAAAACCAAAATAAATCTAAACCTAAACTCATACATGACAATTATACAGTTAAATTCAAACCCCAAAATTGTCTAAAGCCGCGGATAGTGAGTATCGAGAATTTGAAAATTCAAAAGAAGCTTCACATTAAAAACCAAGTCCGCAAAGTAATAAAGGATGGAAGCATCCTTTCACCCATGTTTTAACGATGGACAAACTACCTAAGATTTATTCAATGTCTTGTTCTTAATCTTGATTCGAAATTTGGGAGCAGGAGTTGCTTGAGTAGGCTCGGTCATCGTTTCCAACTTTGGAATCACTACCTTGTTCTGTCCACTCGAATTTGTATTTTCCACTTCCTGTTTGTTACCAGGCAACTCTATGGTTTCCTCTTTCTTAACTCTTAACTCGGTTGCGGGTGCCTTCACTTCACTCAGCGGCTTTGCCATCTCCTTTTCCTTCTGCTGCTTCTCCTTCTTCAATCGCTTCTTCTCTAGATACTCCGGATCATCTCGCTCTCCTTTAAGCTCTTCCCCTTTTCTTTTCTTCTCCTTATCTTTCTTCTTCTTCTTCTTCTTCTTTGACGACTTCCTCTCATCCTTCCCCTGTGATGAAGGTGCATCGTCCCTCGAGACGGATAGTGTTTGTAGACTTGCATACTTTTTTGCTTCAGCATCTATGTAGTTATCTTGAATGGTGCTTGGTGATGAGGGACCATCAGGCTGATGGTGCACGGACGCCTTACCCGAATCAGCGGTACACTGAAGCTCCTTACCAAAGTTGTCACCTTCACTCGCAATTTTCGCACTCCCAATGCTAGCAGTAATCCGAGAACCATGATCATGAAACGAGTTGACCTCTTCAACATTTTGGTTGCTAATACTCACAGCCTCAGCTGAGTTTCTCTGGGGTGCATCCACAGAAACTGAACTGGTTGCGCCTCGATCGGCTTCATGATGCCTTCCTTCTGATCTTTCCCCACCTTCAGATCTTTCCTCTGCTTTACTAGTTGTCGCCGACTGTTTGACCCTTATCTTAACAACAGCCATCTTTCTCTCATGACTGGTTTTCTCATGACTGTTGGAAACTGTATCTACTTCCTTTGGAGCTTCTGGAATTGCCAAATTGTCAAGTGAATGATTGAGATTGTCCATGGGAGGTTGAGGAGGTTTTATCTCTGTAACAAGAGCAGCAAAATTGTTCCTCTGCTCATTGCAAACCTCCACATTACCCATACACGGTATCTTATCTTTCGGCACTCCATATAGTGTCGGGGATCTGAAAACGAGGGCTCAAAATTTTGATTATGAAATTTGTTTCTAAAAGAAGACAAACTTATAGGAAGGGTTTTCAAAAAGTAATTACTAATTCAAAGAACAAATAAAATGAAAATTAGATATTTTGGACATAAACCACCCATAAATAGCATTAGTATAAAAAAACAAGCACTACATCAAATTCACGGGTATGTTTCCCCCAACAGGACGAAGTGTATTGGACCATAAAAGCAAAACGAAAGGAAATCAACAAGCTTCCAACACCACAACCGGTTTTCTCATTCTTTGACTTCGCCGCATTTTTTAGCAAATAAGTAGAGAAAAGTTGTAATTTTCTCAGTTTCTCCATAATTTTAAAGCATAAGAAAATTATATGTTTTCAATCATTAGATGTATTCTCTTCCCAAGCAATATTACCCTCTAGTATGAGGCAACCACTTGTCCGAAGGAAAGTCTAAATTCTAGAGAGAGAATATGAGAATGCATACGCACCTTCCTGCAAGAACTTGTAAAATGCCGAACATGTAGTGTCGGAAGAATACATTATTGAATGCTATTCGACTCTCTAAAAGCTGAAGCAAAGCCACAAGAGCTTCTGCCTTGATATCCTCACTAGAAACCGATCCACCTTGTATCTGACATAATCGCATAGCATGGGCACCCAACTTTACCTGACCTGTAATCAGAGAATGTGTATTTTTAAACAAATATCAATACATATTACCAATAAAAATAAGCATAAGATAACATCAGGAGAGTTGTAGATTTTTTTTTCTTTTAACAGAAGGGAACCTCTTAAAGAAGGCTCTTCCTTTATATACTTAATAAACAACAACAATGCCGCATTGATGCCATTGCAATGGAACTCAAGATCAAGCAAAGCTCTGCTTGCTTCTTTTCGGACTTGCCAGATGGTCTTGAAATCTCGATACGGTTTAATTAGTTCACAGACATGATCCTGCATTGAGAAACAGAATCTGTAAAGAAATATGTAAACATTATTTGGTAAGGGATCAGAGAAAAAAACACACCATATGGATGAATCCAGAAAGCTTTAATGCAATCTGTGCCAAGGTCCGGATGCAACTGATTGTCAATACCCCATTGTAACTGGGCATCAACCTGGTAAGTATCATACAATGTGAATAACATGGAGATCATTTGGAACAATCAGTCTTTAATCAAACAAATCAGAAGATAACCATCACCTGTCAAATTGCAAAAGCCGATCAATGCGCTTGAGAAAAGAAGATAAGAAGTGAATACTCTGAAATAAGAGGAAAAAAATGTAAAAAGGATAGCCTTGCAGATGAATGCTTTGAAATGACATAGGTGATGCATGACCAAAACCAAAATCTGGAACATTGGAAAAATATCCTTTGCTCCCGACATATCACATCAGCCAAAAAGAAATTTAAAGAGGAATAAAGTAGAAAAAAATAAAAGTATAGCATCAGCATCAGAGGAAAGGAACATAAATAAGATACGAATGCGCAGTAACTGATGTATTTTCAGATTATTGCATGCATATGTCCACTGCACACGCATGTAAAGAATACAAGAGTGAAGGGAAGGTATGCAGCTGAAGACAATTCGGTGGGTATGAACTGCTACATATTTCCCTAAATTTCAAAAACCTAACATGTGGGAAGAACACCCACAAAACAAGAAGGCTCTAGTTTCTTAAGAACTGTATACTGTTATTCCTAGTAGGTTGTAGTAACAGAACAAAGAGTCAAACGGACAGGAAAGAACTCTACCCAATGGAGTTTTTAAACAAACTAAGACAAACAAAAAGGTACTGTAAGTACAGAATATAATTATATACCTGCTGCCCAAATTCAAGTTCACCAACTGACTGTACTAATGCAGCGAGCCAGAATACATCCGAGTAAGGATTCTCGTTATTATCGTTATACTGTCAAAGTGCAGTGGAAAACAGAAAGCCAGAATAAGAAAAGGGAAGTATCAAGCATAAGAACTAAAGCAAATAACTGAAGCATCATTTATGAAAATAAAAAAGTATGGAGTGCAAGGAAACAGTAAGCAGTGTATATCAGTAACTGCACAAAAAAGAATGGCAGGAACAACCTCAAGTCATGCAAACACCTATATGCATGTTTTACTTATATAAACCTTGTTGTCCATCTTTAAGGTCACTTTTTAATTGCTACTCTCTGACAGTGCAAAGTATTAGTACAAGGTTTTCTAACTTAGAAAGCAAATCCTAGTCCTTCCAAGCCTCTTCCCATGCATGAAGGACCACCTTATCTTGGACCTCAATAGCCTATAAAATACGAAGTAACTACTGATTGTAGAATTCAAAAATTTAAAGTCATGTTTCCACAGTATTAAGCATCGTGAACATGTTTTTCACTTTCCAACACTCCAAAGACACATGCCATGTTCAGCTTTAGATCTTGCAGAAGTTCGACTTTTTAACTCTAATGGGTAGTTGCCTCAGCTATTTGCTTGAAACTTCATAAACAAAAAGCTTATGGCTGAACCATGTTAGAATTGGTGTGGCATTTGGTTATTCATTTTTATCATAATGATTTGTCTAGTTACCATTTGCTTTGCATTTTTGCAATCTTTTAAGCGCAAAAAGAAAATAGGAAGTTGTGAGTTTTAGAGAGACTATACTGACTTTAGAAGTTTTATTCTCTTTTCACTAAATTAACAAAGACTATTCTAACTTATAGGATTCTGCAACAGATAATCCTAACAAATTATTTCAAATTTCAAATTTAAAAACTAAAACTAACAACCTACTATTTAGGGATCTCTAACCGATAGAATCTATAACCAACAGAAGTAGCAAAAGCAACAATGAAATGATGCCCAAGCAACAAGAGAAGTGCTGCCTGACAGGCAATATGCTTAGTGTCAAGATAAAACCAGCAAATATTATAAAATATGCCATAATGTTAAAATATAAAAAAAACCTGAGAAGTTAATCAAGAATCTACATTCTACATCCGCTTAACTTGTTTTTAGCCAGAACAACAAATCTTCCTCCCAAAAGAAGAAAAGAGAACAGAAACAAAAAGACTTATCGGCTCAGCTGATATTTTTTTTTTTGAAGGAATGGACAGAGGTAGTCTTACTGGGTTTAACCAATAGTAACTTGAGTTCCATCAAACAGAAAACGTAACCTAAAGCTTCTGCACAAATTTTGAAATTATTATCAGACTATCTTTGAACAAACTCTCACACTCTTAGGGAATGTCGTATCCCACAACGATGAAACGTTTCAGATAGAAATACCTCAAGAAAAATGAAGAGTTGCAACAACAACGATTTTCTATATTGCAAAATTAGGAAGCCAATTCCCTGCTTTTCTCTTCTCGAAAAGCAAACCATGCAAATCAAAAGAAAAAATAAAAGGGTTCTATAATTTATGCAGGCAATTGGCCACTGCATATCATTTACTACTAGCCGAAAAAAAAATTCATGCAGCAAAATTAGAAAGCCATCACTGATGTATCTTAATTTGTATGAGCATTCGAAATCTAGATGATCTCGTACGATAAGTGTTAGCCAAGGTAAACCATACCTTCAAGAGTTGCAGAATAAACTCAACGGCTTCTCTAGGGCTTTTCCCGTCTGCAGCTCTTATCGTGGCTACGGCATGCGGAATGGCCTATGAAAACAGAAAATTGTTTTTAAGAACTCCCACAAACTACATATCAGTTATAAATTTAGCAACTCAGGCTTAAGTACTGAACCATACAAGAAGCATCTCAAAGTAAAGGAAAAGGCTAAAATTCAAGACAGCACACAGAACATAGTTCACTTCCATCTTCAAAACCAGAGTAAGCCAAGTTTTACATGGAAAATGAAGTTAACCTAGTTTACGATAAAAATTCCACATGGAAAATGCAGTTAACCTAATTTACATAAATGTTCCGCATGAAAACGAGAAATACCTAATGTTACTATCTTGGACCTAGCCATCCCTTTTCAAATCACTAGATCAAATATTTCATGAAGTGTTTAAGTCAACTTCCATAAACGAGAAATTTCACAAGCAACAGAAGCATCCAAGTTAGTTATACATTATAACATAAAGACAGTTTACCACAGCCTACCTCATTGCATTACCTCAAGAACGAAGTACTCTGGAAAATCTGAGAAGTCATTTGGTCTGGCAAGATCAGCAGGAAATGGAACTTCTTACAAGGGCATTTTAACAATCATTGATGAATTGAGACTTAGGTAAGAAACTCACTTCGGTAATCCAATATCAGTGTCAAACCTTCGACTTTTATAAAACTTCACCAGATGTTGCAAACCAGCCATATCAGTTTCCTGCCAGCCAGAGAATGAAATATAATCCCTATGCCTAAAGCAAATGTATAAAAGCACAAAGATGACAGAAGATGAATTAAGATATGCTATCTATTAAAGAAAATCCAAACAGCACACCTACTGTTTGGTTTTGGGAATACCAATGTTAAAAGGTACTATTTAAATGTTAAGAACTACAACAGATCTCACTGTTGAACAACAAAAAATTAAAAATTTGGACACTCCAGGCATATGGATCATTGAATGTAAGATGGTAAAAGAAAACATCAATCCATACCAACATTTAGAGCATTATGCAGAAACTCAAACTCATGCAACCCAATAAGACATGCAATTGTTACAGAATAACTTCTCAAAATCATAACAAAAAATTCTGGCGAAGAAACAAGCGAAAAATAGGTTTGCTGAATTTCATCACAGCACTATTCATTGAAGAGCCTCGAATGCTGGCGACGATACCTCAGAAGATGTACTAGCCAATACAAATGCTGCCTCAATTCGAACCCTCCAAAAGGCCTTGACACCATGATAAAAATTAAAATGATCAAACTCAATCCACGACAAATCGTTAACCAAATAATTCTTTAGAGAGCAGAAGAACCTTTGTGTCAGTCAGGAAGTTATTCAGTGCCTTGAGAACAGGAAATGAAAGCTCTGGTAAAGATTCTAGTGCTGTGATCGCTTGTGCCTGAGCTACAACATCTTCATCCTTCTCTAACTGATTAATCTGATCATAGTAATAATTTTAAGAAGTCAAATACTAAGGAAAAATTAAGTCATTGGATGTAATTTATAAAGAGCAACAGATACAGCTAAACCACTGGGTGAAAAATATGTAAACTAACAGGAACCTTGAACTAAGTACGTGGCTTGTTCAGTTTTATCAGATACAACTTGTTCTTGGTAAAATTTCCATTTAATCCAATTATATTGATCAATGAAAAATAACTGGGCTTCAGTATGGGATATGGGTGGAGCACACATGAAGGGTTAGAATGTATGCTCTCCCCAAGTATCACTAAACTCGAAGCACATTTAGACATTTACTTTTCTTGCTTTTCAATGCATAGCTCTTCTTTTGCATAGAAGGCAAATTCCAAATTAATATGAAGGCTTCAATATATAGATTTTAGTTAAATACAAGTTCCCGACTTACTGAAACTGAAATTTCAAGCTACTAATTCAAGAGACAGTTAACAATTAATTAATTTTTTTTTTGATAAAAATTGGAGGTCTCGTTAAAAACTCCATTCGTATTCGTCCACATACTAACAAGTATGTTAACAAACATTGGAATGAAGAAAAGAGTACCTTATATTTCATTAAATAAAACACCCAGTACATTTGAAAACACGGAATACCCTCATGCAGGGATAAACACTGTTACAAAATTGATAATAGCAAAAACTTTATCTCAACTCTCAATAACAGTATCTAGATAACAGGCATGGTCGAAAGCTCGTTAATAAACCGCGTTCTTTGAATACATACAATAAATTGAATTTCATCACATGTGAGTTAATCTCCAAAAAAGAAAAACTGTCAGGAAGAAAATTTGAATACAAAAAGTTGTGTTCCCAATAAATTTAGCCAGCAGTAACCAATTAGCATGTCATCTTTTGGTAGTGACACTCCCATGTTCCATTACCCAAAATATTGAAATACAACGCAATGTCTTTACTATATCAATTATGTGGCAAGAATAAAAAATAGAGAAGAAAAAGTATGACTATCTTTCCCTGCTGCATGGAGGAAACATAAATGACTATATACAGGGCAGAGGAGAGGCTATTTTCTATTGGAATAATTGAGTGAACATAGAAAGTGTTATGACCACGTTCTAGGAGAAAGTAACCCTTTTTAAAAGGCCAAGGAGAAATGTCAAGTCCAACTAGAAAATATCTACCACTATCACTTTGCTTAATATGATAATGATCCTAGCAACATAAACTGATTAAGAATATGGCCTTTGATCCTCTAACAGCATCCCATAGTGAACATTTTATCTAAAACAATTTCTTCTTTCTTTTTCTTTAGCGTGAATAGGAGAAATCAAAGGCAAAAAAGGAGTTAGATTTAATCATCGAAGGTATAATTCAATAGAATATAAAATTGATTTAGAAACTCGTAATTTTGGATGAACACTAGAATACAGATGGAGTATTCCTGCAATACCAGTTGCTGAAAAGGTGGAAATATCAAGTTTTTGCAAAAACTAGTTTTGGAGAGGGCATCAAACATTTATTAAGCATGGAAAGAGTAACATCCACCATCCCCTATAATGAGAGGAAAATAAAACCATAAATAACAGGACAAAAGAAGTGAATAAACCTTATGCACTTATGTTTTGCATTGTATAAGGATGAAAATTTTGTTAATCAAATAGATAAGATTGATAACCATTTTCCTGCTTTGTAGCTTAACCATTAGATTAACAAATTTGACATACTCCTTTCCATCCTTCATACCAAGCAAAGCTTTAATGGTTGCTTGAAATTGTTAAGTTAATGACCTTGCAAGTGATATCTACGTCATGCTGGGTTATGCAAAAACTTTGAAAAAAACTAATGATGGAGAACAATTCATGTGCATCTAAAATTTATTTTTGTTAACAACTAACAAGAGAACAAAGACAGAAGAAAAGGAGGTTGGTCTAATTTTTCTTTGGTATTATTCAATAGAAGACATCTACATTAGATGAATACATGAAAACAGGTGTGAGATACCTACAGGTTCAGTTGGTGAATGATGGTGGAATTGTCAACTGTTGGCTAAAAGATAGTTTACGGTAGGGAAATCTCCACATTTTGGCTAAGCATTTAACAAACATGCACAGATTAAGAGCCGATATTCCCTCTAATGGTTGGAAGGGAACCCTTAAATCATCAAAGAGAAACAAAGTGAGGATGCAACCTGATAATCCAAATGCACTTAATGATTGCTTAGATTGTCAAGGAAAATGACCTTGAAACTGACCTACTTCAAGCTGTGTCATGCAAAAACATTAAAAAACTTAGCTAGAACTGAGAATAATATCTTTCTTACCCACATCTGCACAGGTTGATTAAAATGAATTTCAGCTAGATATTCCATCTCTGGATCTGCCCTAATCCACAACAATGGAGAGTCTACACTGCAAAAGAACAATTAAACATGGAAGAATGTGTTAATGGAATCTTCTGGAACAAGTTATACACAAATAACCCGACATTGAGAAGATAAAATACCTTGAACGCATGTCTGCTGTAGGCAAATCACCATTATCATCGGAGCCATCAGGTTTTGAACCCTTTTTAGGCTTCTGGTATCGTTTAGCAGCAAGCTTTGAGTGGCATACTATTTCCAGCAGCTGCCATGCATCACCAGCCATTGAAAGATCTGGATGATCAGACATGCCATCAAGCTCATAAACCCTCACAGTCATAACCCCAGGCCACCCGATATCACCATCACGGTTTTCAGAATCAGGGTTAACATTCAGAACCGATACACTTGATTCAATTGTAGCTGTGCATTCGCGCAGAACTGCCAACTCAATGATATTTTTCCGCTTGTTGTAGGAAAACCCCATCCTTACAAATAGATGGTAAGAAAAAAAAAACATAAATAAAACTAGCAAGAGGATCCCAAATGCAGAAGACATAAAATACATTACTCACTTAAATCATACCTGAGCACCGGACATCCATAAAATCCCACCCACCGAGGAAAAAATTCTTTCAGAAACGGACGCTCCAGATTTCCAATTTTGTTAGCAAAATGACGGAACTGAATATAACAGTTTATAGCTTAATTAATGACCCAAAAATCTGACTAACTTGTATTTAAATTTGAAGTAAAACAATTACATACTTTATGAAATAATAACAAATAAAATACGTAACAATGAAAATACTTTTTCACATTCACCATTATCCAAAAAAAACATGGACATGCAAAACTATATATCCCTATCAAGTTAGGATCAATACGGGATTGCTATTGTTTTATCTACTCTTTCTGTTTTCTTTTCCTCCCCCACCCTGCCCGGGAAAACATTTAGAGCAAAACCATGTTGGCTGAGCATGTTTTCATTTTCAGAAACTAAAAACCGATAACAAATCTTGGAAATGTTGGAAGCAGAAAATGTTGTCTTCAATATTTGGATATACTTTTAGCACCATCAGACATAGATGAACAGCATCCAGTCTGAGCTAGGCCAATTTATTAGATTAAATTAAGAGTTACTAATTCAAGGATCAACCACTTCTCCTTGTGGAACTTTGTTGTCAATTTACTACATCAAAAACATGGTTTTAAGCTCCATGAATCTAAAATGAAAGAAAACATAGTTCAGAAATCTTGAAACACCTGCACTTAGTTAATTAACACATAGTTATTGTAGATGGTTTGAACAACAAAATTAACAAAGTCATCATTTTCATGATTAGCTCTTTATTGCCGTTCCATGAACACTTAAATTGTTGTTATTCGATAGCACAATGGGTTCTAATTAATTTCTTTTCCAAATATATCCCCAGCAGACTGGAATTTTGAGTGTTTCCATAAATCCTCAACATTACTGAGGATTATAAATGACATGGAATTTAGATAGGGAATTGTGATAGAATCTCAAAACCAATTGCATGAGATAAAAGAAGAAAAATTCAGTTTGAGGACTCCAGCTTGGCATAAGGTGGAAATTTAACCTTCCCTACATAGTTCAAATGCCTATGTGTCACCCACGATGCATGGCTGAGAATACCTCACTGATTAAGAGAATTCCCCACTATTCAACCATATTCATTGTCTAACAACTAGATTTTCCTCTAATGTTTGTTTTAATAGTCACAGCTGTAAGCACACTTATCTCCAATTGCAATCTTTTCGACCCATCTAATCTTCAGTATGATACCTTGGTTTCAACTAAATACGAAAAGCATTCCACTATCAACATTTCCCCAACTTGTTGGGGAATTTAAAGAATTCTTCAAAGCAAGTAAATTTCATAGCATTCCACCAAGAAAGGTATGTTGGTTACTTCTTAGAAATGAAAATAAAGATCATGATGAATTTTTTATTAGTTTCTTATTTATTATCTTAGGAGAAAGGGCCTAAATGAAGTCAAAAATAGTATAGTTCTTGGGAATAAAATAAAAAGTTCTATACAAGAAAACCTTCTTTTATAACCTGCCAAGTTTCTGAAAATATATGGGAAAATCTGTTATGAAAAAATCCCCATTTGATTTCAAACTAAGTTCAAATAAACAAATTATGGTTTCAAAAAAGGTTAAAGAGGATTATTTTCAAATGTCTTAAAACCAATTTTGTCAAGTGTTAAAGATTATGCATGATTAATTGGTACCACATGTGGACAGATGCTGTGATGAGGATGCTAATACCTTCCTCACGAGTACTAGCATTCCCAAGCCCTACATTGCTTTTTCTCTAGTTTTATTTGCACGCCTAAAAAATTTTATTTTTTCATAAATTGATCTAGTTTTAGGGTTTCTAGAATGACAATTTTATTGGCGATCAACTATAGCTAACCAAAACCAAATAGCAGCAGTTCCATTGTGGATGTTAATACAACCAGAAAGGAAATTAATAGACAGCCGGCACATTGATGATAACTGTGAGTTAAAAGAAAAACATATATGATCACCTCTTTCGTACTAAGAGACCTCACAGCACAGTTTGTATTTTGTGCACGAGAAATTATTGCTTGCAGAATCTGTATATCGAAAACAGAAAACCAAGAATAAATTAGCATCAACAAACAAAGCTGATTCCACAATTCCTTTGTACATATTGTCCAAAATGCCAACTACAAGAGTCGAGATGATACCCCAAACCTTTTTGAAGAAGTCAGGTCCCATCTGCTTTTCTAACATCTGAAGAATCGCCACCTTCAGGATAAAGAAGTAATAAAAAAAGGCCAAAAGATATAAACGACGATGATGTTAGTGCTCCCTTGGTTATTTCTGACTCTCATGCTAGAAAAAACATTTTATTGCTACTTTTTGTTTCAGAAACAAAAAGCCAAAAATCTATTTCTGAAGAAGAGCAATTAAAAAAATTGAAAACTAAATATTGAAAACTTTATGTACAGCATAATGTCTTATTAGACTTGTATACACAACATCCATGTTTCTAAGCGTATTACAGTTTAGCCATTTACTAATTTCAACCAAATACAATTTTACCTTCATTCTCAATGTTCTTTACATTCACGTTTTCACAACTTTTGAAGTAATTAATAAAAGCAACAAGATGAAGCCAAAATAATTATCACCTCTATGTTCTTGAACTCATTACTTTAATTCAAGGTTTGTTTCATTATTCTCAGTTAAAAGAAGTTAAAGAGACTGTAGTAAACAATTAGGGGGCAACATGACATCATGAAAAAGAAATAATGAGCACTTACAGACTTCCATGATCGTATTTTTCCAAGCAAGCCAATGGAATGGGTTCCATACAAATCCTTGCAAGAAAACGAGGAACTCAAAGCTGTTGCACCACTATCATCTGCTTTGCAGACAGTACAGTTTGCCTATATTTACACGAATAAAATAGCATTATTTTGCATCTGACATGTGTTTGTTCTGGTGGTTTTTTTTTGGGGGGGGGGAGGGGGTCAATGTACATATATCTCATGCATGTCTCCTGGTGGGAGGCTCTTATTTCATAATGATGCTAATTTTAGAAAGATAATTGAAATCATTTCATAATACCACCACAGGCCCACTTCCCATCCATATGAAGAAAATGAATATAATCATGCTAAACTTCAGAAAGATTTTGAATATCAGCATCCAGTACTATTTGGAAAAATAAATTGCAAACCCATCCACAATATGCCAACAGTGCAAGAATCATTAATCCGATTTTTCTTTCTAGAAGATACAGAACATAAAGCAAATTGACAGAACCAGGAGGAGTTTCTCTTCAACCACCAAGATTCAAAATGCAGAAAGAAGAACTGGTACCTTTTAAAGGATCTAATTAGCAAAACTGAACTCAACATGTTAGCTGAGGAAAGGGAGCAATTATAGGCACATAAATAATCCAGAACCTCAGATATTATGATTCAAAACTCCACTGTAAGTATTATCAATAAAATAAAGCCTCTCATAGAAACAAATTTCCCAAAAAGGGTATATATATATATTGTTTTCTTTTGCTTCTTCCTAGATTGATAGATATGGTAAAACATTTGATACCGATAATAATAATAATTATATAAATGATACCATTTTTTTATAATAATTGAAGGCCTCGTTAAAATCCCCCTTCATGATTAATGGAGCTCGTAGAGAAGCTCCTTAATCAGCGGAAGGAGAAAAAGAGTGCCTTAGATTTCATTAATAATAAAACAGATACATAAAGATTACAACACCAATAATGACCCCTTACAAACTAACTTGAAAACCAAAAAAAAAAACCCTAAAATCAACACTCTACTCAACCTATTCCAGCCTTAGCTAAGGCATCAGCCTCTAAGTTAGTTGTCCTAGCAACCCATCTAATAACACCCTCTGAATCTTTAAGCCTATCAACAATGTCTTTTACAATAAAAGCATACACATCTGGACAAACTTCAACATTCCTAACCCAATCCAATGCCACCTTACTATCACTTTCAATTATCAACCGACCCCTAACACGTCCTCGAAAAGAAACAAAGAAAGATAATCCCTTTTGAATAGCCTTTAGCTCCATCAAGGTCGGAGGACCTGGACCAGAAGCCTCCTGGAAAGAACCTAAGATCGAACCTGCATCATCTCTTAATACACCACCTAACCCACTCCTCTTCCAGTCACCACTGGTTGCAGCATCCATATTTTTTTTTATAAGAATTGTAGGCCTCGTTAAAAACCCCCTTCTTGATTATAGGAGATTATAACGAAGCTCCTTAATCAGTGGAAAGAGGAAAAGAGTGCCTTAGAAATTTATTCAACACCTGAAATTACATAAGATACAACCAGAAAAACACCCCTTCAAAAACAGAAGACACCCAAAAACAACCATAACCAACACCACTGACTTAGGGTAAACCAATTTAGATACCTGATTGATTTACCACTTACAAAACTACCACCACCCTTACAGACTCAAAGCTTGTGCTTTGCCCGAGAAAACACAAAACATACAAACCAAAAATCTACAGACAATCAACAAATCCCCTGCTTAGCTAACTTATCAGCCTCCATATTACAGCTCCTAGGAATCCATCTAAGATCAGCGTCCAAAGCATAAATAAGAGCCCCAATTTCCTGTATCAGATCACGCAAGGAAGTAGGGGCAGGTTCTTGGTTCTTAATCCAATCCACTGCACTTTTTGAATCACTTTCGATAATAAGTCTTCCCTTCTTAAACCAACCCGATGAAGCCCTTAAGAGGAGGTTCCCAAGGAATCTTAGAGACGCTAGAATTCTTGATGGATGAACATAAATCCCCTAGGGAGGGATCACTTATTAAAGATTCCTTAGGAATAGAAAACTCATTGAACTTGGCAAGGAACCAAGAAGCAAGCCTGAATCTTGCTAAGAAAAATAATTCGGACTCTTCTAACTTCCCCTCTTCAAACACAATGGCATTTCTGAGTTTTCAAATGGTCCAAATAACAACGCCTGGGATAAAGGGCCAAATAACAGAATTAGTTTTCAATTCTTCCCAAGCTATAAGAAATCTCTGAGCATATTCCTGAAAAACCGAATTGAGACTCCAATACTTCAAGAATTTGTTCCATAATGTCCACGCAGCAGAACATGTAAAAAATAAATGTGAGGAAGATTCTTCCGCCAACTTACACAGTGGGCATAAAGCATCTTCATTTCCCAAACCCCCTCTTTTAACCAATTCTATTTTTACTGCCAACTTCTGAAGGACAACTAGCCACATAAAAGACTCCACTTTAGGAATCAGCAGTCCCCTCCAATGATGTTTTTCTAAAAATGAATCTCCTCCAAACCCGAAGAACACACCTTAACACATGAACTAACAGAATATACACTTTCCCCATTACCTTTCCAAATCAGACCATCATTGAGCTCATTGGACAGGGTGAAAATTGAGATGATTGATATCAAATTAGACCATTGTTCAAATTCCCAATCATTTAAATTTCTCCTCAATTGAACATTCCAAAACCAGCCCATTAATCGAAACTCGCCAAACTCTATTAACTTGCCATTCTTATTTAACAAAATGTAAAACAGTCTAGGGAATAAAACCATTAACGGATAGTTCATCGCCCAAAGGTCTTGCCAAAACCGAATGAGCTGTCCATTACCAACTTGAAAACTCCATTACCTTTCCAAATCAGACCATCATTGAGCTCATTGGACAGGCTGAAAATTGAGATGATTGATATCAAATTAGACCATTGTTCAAATTCCCAATCATTTAAATTTCTCCTCAATTGAACATTCCAAAACCAGCCCATTGATCGAAACTCGCCAAACTCTATTAACTTGCCATTCTTATTTAACAAAATGTAAAACAGTGTAGGGAATAAAACCATTAACGGATAGTTCATCGCCCAAAGGTCTTGCCAAAACCGAATGAGCTGTCCATTACCAACTTGAAAACTCCATATGCTTCGAAACTTAGAACCAAAAGTGTCTTGTTTATAGTAATTATTCACCATCGATTTCCAAATCCAAGAAGCTTGAGCTGGAACCTTGTTATCGAACAATAATAATGATGAGTCAAGATTGTATTTGTTTCATATTATCTTCCTCCAAACATATTTTCTATCATTGGCAAACCTCCAAGACCATTTCCCTAAAAGAGCTATGTTCATACTATTTAGATTCAACACACCCAAGCCACCCTCATTCTTAGATTTGCAAACAGTAGATCAATTAACCCAGTGGATCTTATTTTTTTCCAATTCCCCCTCCCCATAAAAACTTAGACAAAATGGAGTTAAGGTTTTTATTGACCGAGGAAGGAATCTTAAACAATGACAAATAATAAGTAGGAAGCGAACAAAGTATTGACTTAACCAATACCAATCTCCTTGCTAATGATAGAGTATAAGCCTTCCAATCAGCAAGTTTCTTGTAATAATTTTGAACAACCTGATCCCAAAGAGCTGAGGAATTCTTGTTAGCACCAAGAGGAAGCCCTAGGTAATTTGAAGGAAAACAACCAACTGAACAGCCAATAGTCCTCGCCCACTCCTCAACCTCCCCTTGAGCCGTCTTGATACCAAACAATCTGCTTTTCTTTAAGTTCAACTGAAGTCCATACATTACTTCAAAAACTCTTAGAACCCTCTTAACATTTAAAATTTGCATCTTCGAAGCACTACAGAAAATGATGAGATCATCTGCAAATTGCAAATGAGATGAGTGAACCCTCATTCCTACCTATTTCCACACCACAAAACAGCCCCTTAGAAACCGCCTTGAGAAACAATAAATTGAGAAGTTCCCCTACTAAATTGAACAGTAGTGCAGAAAGAGAGAAGCCCTGACGAAGACCCTTTGCCATTGGGAATTCCTCAGAAGGAACCCCATTGACCAAAACTGACAACGAAGTTGTTGTTACACATTTCTTAATCCATCCACTCCATTTGGAACCAAAGCCCATCTTCTCCATATTGTTCATGAGTCTTAATATTTCTGTTTTCCAGTAAAGGTAGAAAACAACTTTTTTTCATTCTCTACTCTTTTCTAGCCATTACACAGATTAAGAACTTGCAAATGGAAACAACATCATGTACATGCATCATGTACAAGCAAAGGTATGAGGATGTCAGGTCAACTTTAGAATTCAGTTCATAATCTTAGTCGGAGAGTGTCAAGACGTGCATTAAGGGAAATGTTTTTAGTTCATGGTCTAGTTCAAAGAGTCTATATCCCTAAGGAAACTAGAACTCAATACAGTTTTCAACTTTGCTTTTGTGCAGTTTGGGAATGAGGATGGTTTGAGAAGGGTTGTAGAAAATCTAAATGGAGCGATCATATGGAGAAGGAGAGAGATACAATGAACCCGAGCATGGGTAGAGCGTAATAATAAAGATTTAAAGAGGTGCTCCGATGCTGATATTTCGAATCCAAGAGCCAGATGTTCTTAGAAGTTTGAGGATGACAGATCGTACAAAGATGCATTGATGTCGAATAGGAGGTCGAGGAGTGTGGAGGTCAAAGATTTGGCCGTCGATGCTGAAAACAGGGAAAAAGTCAGGAAAAACATCATGCAGATGCACATTTCATCTGAGAGCTCGAGCTGGGTTAAACGATCATTGACGGGGATTATCAAGAATTTATTTGAGTTAGAGTTAGTTCATAATGCTTTAGTTAATGAAGGCTATGACGTCCAGATTGTTAGATGGAGGTATGTCTGGAACTCTTGTGTAACAATCTTTAAATCAGTTGAAGAAATGTCAGATGCTTGGATGATGAAGAAAGAAGATCTTCAATTTTGGTTTGATTGTTTAGAGCCATTACTGAACGAAGATGGTGTCCTTTGGCTTTTTGTTTGGTGGAGTTTTTTGGGTTACCTCTTTTATGCTGGAATGAATCTTTCCTTGAAAGGTTAGCAGGGAGATGGGGAAGGGTTATAGATATTCTTGATGACACTAAACACAGGGAAGATCTTACAAAGGCAAGATTGCTAATTAGGGTGGCTAGTCATTTTGATGTTCCAGATCAGATTACTATTGGATCATATGGAAGATCTTTTAAAGTAACAATGAAGATTGGATCGGCGAATGATGAGTCTATTTTCTTTTCCACAAATCCTCCGGTGGTCAGTTCCGATGAGGGACAGTTGGGAGCGTTCATGACTGAGAACGAAGGAGACAGGATATGGTCAGAAAATGAGGAAGATTCTGCTAGATCAGAAGAAGAAAACTGTCAGAGAGTGGACAGTTGGATGGAACAGGGCGCAGTTATCAGGCTTGATGAAGTTGGTGGAGATAATCGATTTCCAAGAATTTCAAAAAATAGATCAGACATTAATGGAAAGTCAGTTGTGCAGTATGGAGGGAGTGTCAAAGTGGGTGAGTTTGTAGGTTTGGGATTGAGAGATTCAAAAATGACGGCTGCTGGGTCTGAAGCCCATTCAGAAGAAGATGAGTTTGCTGGGCCTAACGTAATGAGGATTATTTCTGCTGGGCCAAAAATTAAAATTGATAAATTTGGGAAAATGGTTCAAGATAAGGATTTGGCTAAGTCAAGTTGTTTTAGCAGAGAAGATGTGGGGAGGAGGTCAGATTCAGAGATAATTGAGCAGGATGGTTTTCGAGCCAAGGATTCTGAGTTAAGGGTGATAGAGCCTACCATTGATAATTCAGGAAGCAAAGTTAAGGGTAGACTGTGTTATAAGTCTGACAGTTCGTTAAGCACCAAAAGTGTTCCGTTAGAGAAAAGGAAAAGCAGAAGTTACAAAAGGGTTTACAAAAGGTGTAGGGGCAGAAAATACTGGATGGGAAGTATCTTGAATTTTAAGCCTAAGAAAGATAGTGCCTTAATCGTCAGGGACTGGAGAAATATGAATTCCAGAGGAATCAACTGGATAGCTTGTCATGGATGCAGAGTTTCAGGGTTGTGAGGATGTGAATGATGGATCGAATTTGGGGGGATAGTGTGAAAGGGTGGTTAAGGATTGCAGTTAATGGTGATAATCACAGCTTTGAATCGGGTTTTTTTATCAGAAGAGCTAGAAGACATTGTTAAGGGAAGCTTTAGAAAGAGTTAGCATTTCAACAGCTTCCTCTTCTGGTTTTTCAGATTATTGGATGAAGCTTTAGTTACTTGGGAGATAAGTAAATTGTTGGGTATTTCCTTTAAACAAGGACAACAAGCCTTTTTGGATAAGATTATTAG